CCCCCTCTTGACTCTCCCGCCCCACGCCCCGCCCGGCCCCCTTCTGCCCCCGCCGCCGCCCCGCAGGGCGCCAAGTCGTTCTTCAGCGAGATCATCGCGTCGATCAGCGACGTGCGCTTCAGCCGCGACGGCCGCTACCTGCTGTCGCGCGACTACATGACCGTCAAGCTCTGGGACCTCGCCATGGAGGGCGCCCCCGTGGCCACCTACAACGTCCACGAGCCGCTGCGGCAGAGGGTGAGCCCGGGCTCTCCCCTCTCCTGCACCGGCCGGGGCGCAAGCGCACAATGCCGCGCGCCGCGGCAACGCGCGGTGGACTCGCGTCAGGCGCAGCATACAGAGCGACCAAAGCCCGCGTCACAATGCCCGACCGCGTGCCGCCCCTCTCTGCCCCTCTCGAAAAACAGCTGTGCGACCTGTATGAGAACGACTGCATCTTCGACAAGTTCGACGCGTGCATGAACGGCGACGCGACCCACATCGCGACGGGCTCGTACGCCAACGGTTTCCGGGTCTTTGGGCCTGGCGGCGGCGAGGCGGCGCTCGAGGCGACGCGGGACCCCATGCGGCGGCGGGTGCAGCCGGGGGCGGGCAAGGTGCGCGGGCGCATGGGCCTGGGTGCGCGGCGGTCCGGCCGCGCCCGCGTGGGGCCCCGCCGCGGGTCGGGCCGCGCGTCGGACGGAGCCGCGCCGCGGCTGTCCCGCCCCGGCGCGGCGCGGCGCGAGCGCGGAAGGCGCGCCTCGCTCTTTGGACGAAGGCTGTCGCAGCGCGGCTCGTGGCTCGTGGCGGAGATTCCACGCGCCAGCCAGCAACGCTGCGCTGCCAGCCCACTGACGGCGCGGCCCGGCCCGCCGCCTTCCCCTCCCCCAGGCGCAGCAGCGCTGGACCGTCCGCGCCAAGCACGGCCCCGGCAAGCGCGGCGCCGCCGCCGCCGCCGCCGCCGCGGGCGGCCTGGAGGGGTGCGGAGACTACGAGGCCAAGCTGCTGCACCTGGCGTGGCACCCGGAGGCTGATGTGATCGCTTGCGCCGCATCAAACAGCTTGTACATGTTCTGCGCGTGAGGGGCGGCATCCTGCACCCGCGGCCGGCTTGCCCCGGTGCCGCGCGCGTGCCGCCACGGGACGGCCGGCGGTGGCGGGGCGGCCCTGCGCGGTGCCGGCGCCGCCGCGCGGCTGGCGGGCGCGAGCGTGCGCGCGTGCGTGCGTCGGCGCGCGGCAGCCGCTCGGCGCGGCGGCTGAGGGAGCCGCGCGCCCGCCCCGCAGCTGACGCAAAAGCGACGCGCGGCAACTGGCTGGGCCGTTTGCCTGCGGCCCCTGGACTTTTCGCCCACCGCTGCAGCCGGCCAGGCGCCGCGCCTGCTCTTCTGCGGCCTTAGCAAGCGGCAGAAGCCACCAGGAGCCGCGACTGCCGCCTGCTTCCCTAGCGGCGCGCCGGCGGCTCCCTCGCCGCTGCAGCCTTCTGCCCCCCGGCCGCCCGCGCCCCTTGCGGCGCCCCGCGCTGCCGTATCGCCCTGCAGGAATACTATTATTGTTTTTTGCCCCTGCGGGCGCCGCGGGACGATGCCCGACCCTGTTTGGCGGCGGCCGCCCCACCGGTTGCGGCGAGGATCGCAGTTACTTGTGGGCCCCGTGCGCGCCCATACATGCTTGCAGGTGCAACTTCCAAGCCGGCCTGCCGCCTCATGACGTGGGCCCCCATGTGCGGCGCGGCGGGGGCTGCGCCCGCTGTCGCGCGCAGGCCGCGCGGGTGTTGCCACGGGGCGCACGTGCGCGGCGGTTGCTGTTTTGCCGCGTATTGCGGCATGCCTGCAGGTATCAGGATCGGCACTTGCTTGTACAGCCTTCGCGCCACACCTCGGGTGCTTGCGTTTCTTAGAGGACGCCGCGCGGCCGCGCGGAGCGGCCCCACAACGGCCCCCGCCCCCTGTCCGCGCGGCGCGGCCGCCGCGCCGCCCCCCATTCCAGGGTCTGCCAGTTGTCGACGGCTGCGCACCCGCCATCACCTCTGCAGGGCGCGCGGGCGTCTTGTGCCCGGCCATGCACGCTGAGGGACGTAGCCCCGCTGCGGGGCGGGCCCCCAGCACGGGCTTTGTTCAGGCGCCCGTGACGGGATGCTTTAGGCACAAGACGCGTTCCGCGGGCCTGCAAGCCACAGCACCGCACAGTATTGCATCCTTCTAATCCAAATGAGAAGGCCGGCCGAGCGAGGGCGCGCCGGGGGCCTGCTCGCCCGGCGCGGCGGTGTGCGGGGCGCAGGCATGCCCCGTCGCCCCGCGAGCCTCCAGGCGGGCCCTTGCGGTGGCCCCCTGCGCGAGGCGGCCACCGACACATTGTCAGGCGGCCGCCAGCCCGCCAGCCCGCCCCGCGCCCCCTTCGTCCGGGCACTGCCCAGCGCTCCTTTGCAGACGCTCCCATGCGTGCCATTGGGGCCGACCTGGAGGGCAGCGGAGCCCACATTGAACAGTCAAGACCCCCAGCGCATCCCCCACATGGCTAACCCCAACCCGCGCAAAGGCGCCGCCGCCAACCTGCCGGGGCGTCACGCCCCCCCTCCCCCCCACCCTGGCTTTCAACTGCTCTGAACTGCTTTCAATCGTGCTCAACTGCTCACTGCTTTTGGCTTTGTGAGGGGCCTCTCTCGCCCAATTTCCCAGGTTTGGGCCCCTCTCATTGCCCGTGCATTGCCCATGAATTCAACCCTATGTTGTAATACCCAGGCAGGAAGGCGAGCTATGCTGAGGCGGGGAACCGGCCGCTGGAAAGGCACGGGCGTGCCAAGAGAGACGGGTTACAACAGCTGAGGAACGTGCAGCCAGGGCGAGGACGCCGCGTGTGCGCTGACGGAATGGAATGGTTGTATGCAGGCGTGGACGAAGAAGAGATGACGCGCCGGCCCTTGCGGCGGGCGCCGGCGCCCCACAAGCGTATCCCCAGACACCCCCGCGCGGCCGGGCGGCGGCGGCCCAGAGCAGGCCCGCCCCCGCCGCCGCGCGCGGTCAGCAGGAGCAGAGTGAGTTGCGCTGCTGCGGCTGGCTGGCGAGCTGCACCGTGGCGGGCGCGAGCTGCACGTTGACCAGGTCCTCGCCGCGGCCGCCGCCGCCTGCGCCAGAGTCCATCCCGGGCAGAGCCGCCGCGATCTTCCGGAACAGCGCCTGGGGGTCCAGGACGGTGCGCGCACGTGCAACGCGTGTCACCGTACAGAATCCGTCCGCGTTTTCGCGCTTGAAAGTCCGCCCGCGAGGCCGGGAACGCTGGCGCTGCAGGCCGCCCGCTGGGCCGCCCGCCAGCCCCAGGCGGCCGGGCCGCTGCTCCTCTCTCGCACCCGCGGGCGCGCATGACATCCCTGTCAGAGCACCCCCAAGCCCCACCTTGATGTTGAACCCGGCCTTTGCGCTGGTCTCTATAAAGTTCACGGCCAGCTCCCGCGCCTTGGCGTCGCCCTCCTCCAACGACACCTGCCTGTGGAGGGCCGCACGCCCCGGCCGACGCGCGAGGGCGCACAGGGGTCAGCGGCGGCATCGGGCGCGCTGCGGCGCGCGCGACATGGCCACAGCGCACTGCTGCACCCCTCACCTCGCCCCAGCCACTCATAGCCTTGCAGCCTGCTCTCCGCGCCCCCCACAGGCGCTACTCGACCGCCCAGTGCCCCCCCTTCAGCACAGCACCTCTCCAGCAAGCACTTGCCATCGATGGTGTGCTTGTTTTGCCGATCAAGTGCCCAAAGCCCCGCGCTGCTGCCCAACCCCCTTCCCCCCAAAAGCTCCCAAGGCCGCCCACCGCTTGTCCAGCAGGTCCGTCTTGTTGCCGACCAGGAATATGATGACGTCACTGCCGCGCTCGGTGCGCACCTCCTGGATCCACCGCACCGTGTTGAGGAAAGACGCGCGGTCTGCGGACAGCGGGCG